TACTTGGTGCTTGCTTGAGCTGTAGATTTAGCACGCAACTGACTGAACTGAATTAACGTCATGGTACGGGTGTTATTATTTTCAAGCTATAATTTTGAGAAACCTGTAGGTTTTACTTAATACTGTAGCGTATAGAGTCGTTGCTGTGCAACGACCGCGTTGGTCGTTTCTGGACAACGACTCGGTAAACACCTTCCCGCTGCACTGCACACGAACTCGACAATATAAGAGTTGGGTGTTTTATGTGGTCCGTGCAGAAATATTACAAGGAAGGGACCAGGCTAACGGAAGTCTGTGAAAAGAAAGCTTGAGAGTGTGAAGCTGAAGTACCTTCACTGTTAGAAGCCGTTGGCAGGTAATGGCTGTTGAAGACATAACAGGTTGGAAAATGTTTAGCGAGTGCTGTGATGTTTTGTGAATCAAGCCATATTTGTTAAAGCTGTAAATAAATCAATTCATCAATGTAAACCCTTTCTATAATCACACTCATAAATATGAAAATACTTTTAATTCGCAGAAATCTCTTGTTACCTCAAATATGAACTGCAGCCTTTATAATTTGAGAGCAGATGTGCAAATTACACTTCAAATAAAGGATCTGCTTTGAGTTCATCAATGTCAGTACTCTACAGCTTTGCATTATGAATGCTTACTAATACCACAACAGGAACCGGGATAGCGCAGCCGGTATAGCGACTGACTACGGACTGGATGGTCGAGGGGCAGGAGTTCGAGTCCCGGTACAGTCAAGAATTTTCTGCACTTTGTCCAGACCGGATCTGGGGCCCATCAAGCCTCCGGTCTAAAGGGTACCGGAGGCACATACAATCGGGTAAAGCGGCCGGGGCATGAAACTGACCACTCATTTCCAACAAGTGGGAAGATTAAAAGTACGTGGATCTATACATCCACTCGTCGGCCACGGTAGCCGAGCGGTCTAAGCATATACTGTCTTCGCTCGCTCGGAAGCCGTGGTCGTAGGTTCGAATCAGACTCAGGACATGGATGTTTGGTGTTTGTGTGTGTATGTGCGTTTTTCTGTGTTTGTGTACTGTAGAGGACTTGCGACGCCATGTTAGATGGGTCCCTGTCACCACACATGGCGCGTCCTCAGGTTGCGGATGGAGAAGACACCATCCAGTTTTTGAGGGAAGCTGTGAATATATTGAATAAGCAGTCGCGGACAGCCGACAAGGGGTGGCCTCCAGCTTGGGAGTTGGGCGTGGGGCTAACAACTCCTCACCGTAAAAAACCATTATATTAAGAAAACAAACACGAAGACTCGGACCTGGACGGATTCCTTGGATAAAAGAACTAAGCTAATGAAGATTGATATGAGATTTGGCACTTGGAATGTACGAAGTTTGTATAGGGCAGGTTTGCTCAGGGCAGTGGCAGAAGAAATCTTAAAATATAAGTTAGATTTAGTGGGAGTACAGGAGGTCAGATGGGATGGAGGTGGCATCGCATCAGCAGGAG